TTTTAATCAATAATCACGACTCACACAGAGTAAAAGGCAAATAAATAATGAACTCTGTCCAATAATTAAAGCTCTAGGAGTTAAAATTGGTATAAAGAATGATCAAATGTCATCCCCGTGATCAAACAACACATTCGCGCCACTCCTCGGTGATAATACACGATGTGATGCAACAGCAAAGAAAGATATTTGACATGTTTTTTTTTTCTTTTCTACGCCTTTGAAATCCAAGCTGCCGGTTCGACACAGCGTGCAACAACAGATATTAAAACGCGCATGAGAGATAATCGCAGCAATGAAACTCAATTCAGCCCACGTCCACGCTGGCCAGTGGCTTTTCCTTTAATTATACGAGCTGACCAAAGAAAATGAGCTAAATTTTCTCTGGGAAATCGTGTGAAGACGGCGAAAACACTTCAGGTGAAATGTGCACCGCGGACCGAGATGAGTAAATGGATGTTTTAACCTTCTGTTAATATGAAACCGAATGACTGGAGCTCTTTTTTTTAGCCAGCAGGCACGCTGTGAGACACAATATTCAGATGGTACAATTATCATAATGTTGTGGCTGTACTGGGGCTGGAAGCAGCACTAACGCAGCACAAGTTAATGCTACTAAACCCAACACATATCTTTATATCTTTCTCCTCTGGACCGGTGACGAATAACTGCTGTAATGGATGTGAATGGGTGTGCTCATGCATGTGTGTCCATCCTAACCGAGCGCAGGATGAATTCAAGTTTTTTATTTGAACGCCGTTAATTTATCCCGAATACGCGAGCTGATCTGTGGGCCTATTAAATGGTTAAACATGCCCTCAGTGATTGCTAGTGATTACAGTGTGTACCTTCATTACCTGCTGGATTTTGATATTATGCAACACAATAGAAATAAAAAAAGGAAGTGCATTAGTGTTTTCTCTGAAGAAGAAGAAGAAAGGAGCCGCCTGATACCACTGTTTCATATAACAATTATCTCTGCAGCTCAGCAAATTGTTTTTGTGTTTCTCCCTCTGATGTTTCCTCAAATACGGTGAAAGTAGAGGTGTAATGAGGAGCACGCAGTAAAAACACACATCTTTGCATTTCAGAGCCATGTGCACTCGGCCTAGCTCCCTGACCCAGCTTCTGCTGAGATGTATATTTAATTCTGTGTAGTTTAACTCGTTGAATGCTAACTGGCCACATTGAAAATCCGCGGCATTATTAACGCTGTGGTGTCATTAGTCGCGGTGTTGGTCTGGAAAACAGCTCTGACTGACACCTTAGCATCTCCTCAAAGGGCACAAAGATGATAAAGGATGTATATATATATGATCCTGATTAACTGAGGTTTAAATAATTTAATGACCTTTGGCTGTGATTTGCAATTTTTCACCGATGTTGCAGCAAAAACAGACCAAACCGAGACAGACGGTCGACTGGAAGCTCTTTCTTCATCTCGTGCCCTTTCTCAAACCTTTCTCACCTTTGCTCCTAAAGCCCCAACTTAGATTGACCGAGGCAAATATAAACATCTTAGAAATTCATTAAAGTCAGAATTCTGCACCAAAGAACCCTTTGTTGAAAGAAAAATACGATACTTAGGGACTCTGGGAACTTAAAGTGGATCAATCAACCTCCATTTCATTAACAAACGGTCATGTGGAGATCTTACAGAGTTATTGTTTTACATTTCTGTCTACAGGGGCATTAGTGTTGCATTTTTGAACAATTTACTCTGAATAAAATTAGACATTAAGAGCATTAACACATTTTGTGAAACTGAACATCTTCAGTCGGCTTTTTTTTTTTTTTGAAGTTTCTACCAAATTCCCCAAATGAAGTCAATAACAGCTGAAAACACGAAGGCCAAAATGAGCGACTTCAGGCTCTGTGACACTGGAATAAATCTGAAATGTAATGAATCTCCTTCTACTTGTTACGAGGCAGGAGTGAGATTTCAAAAAGTGTAATTTGCAGAGTGAGAAACATCCTTCTAACAGTTCGTCAGCAGACTCTCGTGCTATTGAACCTGTTAGAGAAGCGCTCATTTGCATGTCTGTTAAATTTGATACAAAAAGAAATGAGGCGCGATCAAGAAGAAACCTCCAAGAATAAAAAAATCTAAGAGCCAAAAATCGCAGTTCCTCAAATGGACACTAGAGGCTCCAAAAGCGAGTCGATCCCCACAGACCTCCACGTTAAAATGTCCAACTTTACAGCAGAAATGAACTTTTTTATGGCTTTTCTCTGCATGGCAAATGTTCTCATTTGTGACAACTGTGTGGGGGATGAAGTTTAATGTAACGCACCTTTTAAAATCGTATAGAGGCTTAAAGTTATGCACATGAAGGTCCTGACCTCATTGAGCGACATGTGTGCACGGCCATAAGAAAATCCATCAGCAGCACTCACGCTTCACGTCTTTGAGGATTTTTCGTTTATCTGGGTGTTAGGAGGAGCTGGGCGCTGTTAGCACAATACTGAGCGATGTTCCAGAAACCTAAAGGTGACGTCACAGTGGTTCATCTAATTTCATATACAGCCTGTGAGCACAACAAACGAAGAGTTCATTTACCAAACAAATAACTCCACTTTTGTAGATTTTCAGAAAACTTATTTTTGCTGTTGTTTGCTTGAGATAATATCAATCAAACTGACTCAGTAGAAACGACAACAACAGAGATAACTTAAGCTTGATTGATATTGTCTCAGGTAGACGATGGAGAAGTGGGTTTTCTGAAGGTTTTGTGAAGATGGAGTTGTCTGTTTTTGCAAATGAGCTCTTCAAATACTTCATCCATTTTAGTCATAACAGCACTTATTGGCTTCTTTAGTGAGTGCAACAAGCTTGGCAACCATCAAAAAACAGTCCCAGTTGCATTTCTTTAAACAGATGTGTCCTCCAGGGTGGACAGATTTACAAATGGAAGCAAGTCAAAGCAAACCAGCGTCCCAGGACTCTGGACACAAAGAGTCAACGGATCTGAGTTTAGCGAGTTTGGGGTTTGTGGTGCCTTATTACATAATCTTTAAGTCTAGTCTTGTAGAAGTGCCTAATGAAGGAAAGTGAGATTCTACAGCCGTGCTATAGAGTTAATAATGGCTGATGGAAACACATTATTCAAATACGTTGTGGGCAAATATGATATATGACCGAGCAGCTGTTTCTGTTTCTTCTGTTGTCTTCTCAGTTCAAACAGCAACAATCATGACCAATACCAGCTGATCTCTTTCTATTGTTACTCTCGCAGAATTCAAAGTTTTCTTGGTTACGTCTTACTCAAGGTCTGTTTAAGCAGCTGACAAACAACTGCTGTTGTTTCGAGCTTCTCTTTATATTACAATCATGTGTTTTGTAACCCATACTGCCACCTACTGGCAGCACCATGCAGTCTTATTTATCCACACAAAAGCAATTAAGCCTAATTCGCTTTTTCTTTCTTTTGTGATGTTTACATTATTGCTTCAAATTTGCTTAACACTCATATGGAAACATAATGAAGATAATGGCCAACACGGATACGCTTAGATGCAGACAATGCTAACATGCTGATGGTACAATATTCACCATCTTCTAAACTTTCCAGCTTTCAAAGCACAGACGAGGCAATGCCATTAGCGTTGACAATATGTGACCATAAACCAAAGCGCTGGACAACAATTGTGACCAACTGGTGAGGCTACAAGAATGGTCAGAGAACCACCAACGTCTTAGAGCTCCCCCCAGTCACCTGTACTGGTCATCCATCCAGTCTCGTAGTGCATTTTTTACTCACGTTTACAAGTGAAGATTCTGCAGAAAAATTTCATTTGATTTGTCGTCTGGGAACCAGGAACATCTGAAACATTACATTATAATCCCTCCTCTATATTTCAGTGTGGACAGACTGGCTGCTGGCACGACTAGAACTGGTCCTACCATCGCGCCCACAGGATGCATTTCCCTGACTTCTGATTTTATTTACCTGACAGCCACAGAATAGAGAAGCGGTTTTGGGGGTTATCAATATGGACGCGTATATTTCTGCTTAAGGGCCCCTGAAGGCTCCAATCTGGTAACATCTAGCTGACTCACATCTCAGGAACCCACTGGCACCAGAACCACCAAAACATGAGAAGTGGAGTCGCTGCTGCTGCTGACGCTGGTGAGGCTCAATGTCTGATTAGTTTTAGGTTCATATTACCAGCCTGAAAAAATGCATAAACAACACAAATTACCACCAATTCCAATTTTTATTTTCATTTTTTTTTTGGTGAGTAAAGCACTCTAAACGCGCGGCATGCTGGAGATAACGTCATATTCAAGCTTCTAGTTAAAAACAGGATTCACCCCAAGGCATGAAACCCCCACTTAACACTGGCACATTTCTGGTGTAACGGTAATACGCTGACAAATTGCGCGTTATGTCTTAACCCCAACCTCCCCAAGTCGCTCAAATTACGCACGACGCGCGTCATGAATTCACTAATGTCCAAGTGGGCTGAGAGAGGCGCTGAACTCCCCTTCTGCCTCTCTCTCTCTCTCTCTCTCCCCCTCCCTCTCTCTCTCTCTGTATCTCCCTCCCTCTCTCACCCTCCTTCCCCTGAATGCTTTGGGCCAGATACTCATCCACTCGCTCTGTGTGCGTCAACCACCGGTCTCCGCTCCTGCTCGGGACAAAACCGCACGCAGCTGCCTTCGCTCCCTCCACTGCTCGAGTCTGCGCGATCAGGAGCGGACCTCGCGTGTGTTTGCTTGGATATTTTACCTCTCGTGGACTTTGATTTAGGCTCAGCGCGCACGAATTTTGCCTCCTCTGATCATGACCACTTAGGCGATAATTCACAAGTGCGACGGAAAAAGGCAAACTTGCAGATCCTAAGACGCCCCTGTCGCCAATGTGTTTTATGTGTTTGCGCTCAACAGTGAGGTAGATTTGAAATTCTCCAGAGTGTCGGCGTGTGATTTATCCCGTGGATGCGGCCGTCGGGGTCGATGTCTTGAGCCCTGCAGGATCAGCCTGTCACAGGGCATCATGATTTCTCCGGTTTTTCACAAGTGGATGAGGAATATTTCTCCTGAGATGCTGCCGCTGCTGCTGCTGCTGCTGCTGCCCATATTGTGGTTGTTACCTCTGGCTGGAGCGGCTCCTTCTCAGACCACCGAGCAGCTGGACATGGGGGTGGTAAGTTTCCCATCTTTTCCCCGCATATGAGGGGTTGGAAGTTTTGCTACGTTGCCGCTTTTACGCATGTGATTTGGTGAAGTTTTGACAGCGCTGGACGTACACGCAGCCCGGCGGAGTGTTCCGACCCAACTCTTGGGGATGTGCAGTTTAACCTACTTTTAGATATCGGAGGCAAATGATGTGAATTGTAGCACCTCGCAGCAGCCCGATGCCCACAAAGGGGGAGCTTGGCGCTGCAGACGGTGTGCGGGAGGAGGTGGCTGTTCTCCAAAGCGGGAATGAGGTTCCCTGTAGTGGCTCCCAATAAATAAATGTAAATGTAGCCTATTTGCCTTGGTGGAATATCGACCTCCTCCACAGCATGCTGACATAGGATCCTGCACTGATGAATGGCTAACGGGGGCTCCCTTCCAGCACAATGACAGCAGGAGCCATAAGACATTTCCTTTTTCTCAGTCATGCCTCTGAAACACTGCTCCAGCATGTCATCTCATGCCAAGTTTGAACAATCACTGGGTTTAAAATAGGGCTGGGATGAGATGAGCAGCACATCCTGCTGAGCCAATTAAATCAAACAGGTAATTTTGGATTATTAGAGGGATGTGAGCTGAGAATTTAGCAGCTTTTAGTTGTTTAATGTAGTGGATAATGAAACTTGAGATAAAAAGTATGGAGCTGATCGTTGTATGAGTTCAGGTTTGTAGAATCCCCCCTGATCCTCCTAATGAATCTGAGTTTGGACCCTTCCACTCCATATCTGAAGTTTAACGAGCAGAGACCTGCTGATAAAACAAGTAGTTGTTAATTAGTAACTCCTGACACAACACCCTAATTAATTATTTACATTAATGGCTATGTTGCACATCAGCTCATCTCATAAGTTTGCAGCACTTCTTGTTCTCCCACACTGTTCCAGCTCACATAATGAAATGCTAATCAGCCTTTCCAGCACAGAATCCCTCCTGAAAGCGTTGATGGATTCATGTTCTGCTGCTGTTCATCCAACTTGTGTCTCCTCGCATCTGTCTCTGTCATCAGCTGCCTTGTTTGTCTTGTCGGGTGTTTTTTTTTTAGTTTTGTTGTTTTTTTTCTGGGAGGTGGAGTGGAATAGAGAAGATTGAGTATTAATTCTGTTATCAAAGACATTGCAGAGGTATTTCAAGCGCTGGACCAGCTCCACATATTCCCCGAGGATGTGTGCTGCTACCGAGACAACCATTCATCTCCTTGGTTCTTAAATACACAGACCCGCAGACGTGAATTGTCCCTCAGGTTCCACAGATTTGAGGAATACATTCAGGAGGTGCTGTGTTGGAGTTTACTCCCCACAGAGCAGCACTTAGTCATCTGCAAATTTTCTACGCGGCGGTTTGGGACATGTAGATTACAAATGTTGCACTTTGTCTTTGAGAGAAAGTGCTTTGGTGTTGCTCTCACACTGGAAACTCAACACGCTGGGCGGTTGGAGACGGATGATCCATTGTTTGGTTGGCAATCCTCAAAGCTGCCTTGACTGTGCTGCTGTGCTGTGCTGTGCTGTGTTATCCCTTCTCAAGCTATGTTTGAGTGTGTGAGCAAACACTTGGCCAGAGCAACGTGAGCATCGCTGGAGTTCTATCTATCATCACATTTGCACAAAATTCGCTGCCATCCTTTTTGCTGGTTTGGTTGAGGAACCCACCGTTGCTGAGCTCCCCTCCTCGGTCTTGTGTTTACGTTGGCTCGCCACCATTTCACGCTGTACGACTGGTTTGTGTGAGCCCCTCAACTGGGAGCAGCTGCCCACAGTTTTTTTTTTTTTTTTTTAGGAACCTACAAACCAAAACAGAAAGCGGCTTAAAGCTCCAAGGAGCTGAATCCTGATTCCAGCGTGAGCTTGGCAGCTCAAGCGAATCGTTCTTATTTTCAGAAACCCTTTGATTCATTGTTAGTATCCACATTATTGTGTGATACAGGTTTTAATTCAGTGGAAGATTGAAAAAGTACAGCTGTGTTGGTTTATTCTTGCATTTTTTAGCCACTTTTGACCCATAAATGAGGCTTTGTGATGTCTAAGAATCATTGATAAGAGTTCTTGTGTTGCATTGTTGTTTCCATTACTGATTAATGAGCCGTGCATTTTCTTGATTAATTGTTTTTTTTGTCTATAAAATAATGACAAATTGCCGATAAGTCTCTCAGAACCCAAGGTGGCCTCTTCAAATGTCTTTTCCAATCAGCGCTCCACATTCCTCAGATCTTCCGGTTACAGTCATATAAAGCAGAGACAACGTGCCGATCCACTCGCCGCTCAAGTGTTTGCTTGAATGGCTTTGTTGGAAGAGATGGAAAACAATTTTCTCTCCATTGAAGCACCAATTATTGGACGCGTCCTTTCAGCTCTTGCTACACCTTGGAGTCGACGGTGCATAATGCGAGCGTGATAACTGTTCCTCCTCGACAGAGGCCGAGGCAGACTGCTGGCAGCTTGTTGGTTTGCTGTGAGAGGGCTTTAGGACGATCATGGGAGTTGGACAGGCAGGCGGACAGATGAGGGCCCCTCTCCCCTGTGGCCGGCTGATTGACTTTTAAATAAGACTTGTGCTGCATTGGTGAAAATTGCTCTCAGCTGCCGAGAACAGGTGGATAATTGGTTGTCGAGGCTTTGAGTGGCTTCTCCCATCTCCGCCAGTTGTGTTCATAAGTGCTGCACCTTTGGGACTGGGTCCACAAAAACAGCCATCGAAGCCACAGAAGCGTGTCCCGATCTGCACCTCTGCTGCTCCTATCACACTTCAGAGCCGTCGCTTGGCTTTTAGTCGAGCCTGAGCGCCGAACGTATCCGTCTCTCCGTGTAAACTGCTGTACACAGTGACCGTAATTAACTGCACCACAAACTTAAGCACAGCTCTGAGGCATCCAGTTTCCAGCTTTGCTGTTATCTAACCCAGTACATCACTGCAAAGCACCAATTTGCAATTTCAGCATTCGAGGGGAACTACTAAGCTACAATGCAATCTGCACTGTGTTTTCCACTAATGTCATTTTCCTCCTGATGGCTGTTTTCCGCTCCACTACAGAGCGACGGCGTTCCTCGGGGGAACTGTCCGCCTGCAGAAACAATACTGTACTTTCTATGGCGGCTGCATGGAGACGGAATGAGGTGACCAGATGAGCCTCCAATTAAAACACCCTAATTATTATTTAATCCTATAGAAACTTCACATATGTTTCTGTGCCATTTAATCTCTTTCAGTGCAGAAGAATTAATTTGTAGTAAAATAACACCCATTGAGTGGCTGGTGAATGCCTGGTGGGACAGCCTCTTCCTGCCAGTCTACTTCTGACTCTCATTTTGTTCGTAATTTCTTCAATGAGAATACCATCTGGTCCTGTGTCCACAAAGGAGCAAAGAAAAAAGAAAAGAAGAAAAAAGCCTGGTAGACACCACCCTCCCCGCTAAACCTCATAATTCTGAATTCTCATGCAACTAGTCTGCCCGGCTCCACCACCACCACTCCTCATTAGCTCCGTCTTTGCCTCTCATGAGTGCACATTTCACCGGTATCATATTCCGTCCCCTCAGTCTTTCAGTCTCCTCCTTTCAATTTTCTCCTTCCAGATAGGAGGCTTTCTTTCCAGCAGCACATCATGGTTCTTCTGATTACACCTAGATGCCCAGGGATAGAGAGGGGCTCAGACAGAAAACTGGATGCAGAAACAGCCGAGAGGAAGTGCGATGGGAAGGATTACTGTGCCGAAGCGAGTAATCAACCAGACAGGGTCAAGAGAGGGAGGAAGACGTATCGGTGCGACGGTTCGGCAGAAGGTTTTCATGTAGGAAAGTGCAGAATAATTGCCGTAAACAGCCGTGGCACAAAATGCGAGTTGTTTCTGCAGCATCGTGCAGGACCTCCACATGCATTTAGCTCCACTGCTCCACTTCCATCAGGCTGTGTGACCTTTCTGCCTGTGGCGCCCTGTCACGGGGCTTATAACCAGGACAAGGGCACTATTTTTCACCGATGTCAAGTGGGGGAGATTACTACACAGTAGGATAGAATATATCATTGTGTAATGATTGACAGAGAGCACAAGAGACAGTTCAGTGTGTAATATATAGCAGCACATTCTCAGCTCGTCGGGAAGAGGAGGAGATACTGTGGAAACCGACCGGTCCTTCAATTTGCCTCTATCCCCATCTGTCATCGCGGCGAGTGTAAAAGTTCTCCAGGGACTTTCAAGTTCCTGAGGAGACTGTCAGAGTTTATAATATCCTGAGAGCCCGGTTCAGCGAGGATCTTAAGGGCCCTGACACTTTATTGGCTGCCGCCATAGCGTGGTGGTGGCGATGGAGGTGGTGGTGGTGGTGCTGGTGGTGGTGGTGGTGGTGGCCATAGCGTGGTGGTGGCGATGGAGGTGGTGGTGGTGGTGCTGGTGTGGGAGTAAAGCGTGGCAGCTGCAACGCTTGTGCGTGATGTTTTCAGTCGGTGACAACACGAGATAAATTAGGAGGAGTCGGCGGCGGCTGTAACTCGATATGACTGGCAGAGGAGCGCTTTGATTGAACGTAACGCTTTTAAATGACGTAGCAGGTGACAGATCTCTGCTCCTGTCTTGTCAAAGCCAATCCTCGTCTGTTCCCGAGGTCCCGAGTCCGGCTGACCGGAGGGGGGGCCGGTCTCACAAAGGAAGCCTCAGATCAAACTAATCAGATTTCAAAGAGATGTCCAGATTAATCAAAGCTGCCGCGACTATCTGAGCAACTCGTTTGCTGCATATTCCGGGTAAATGAAGACGTTGTTTTTGACCGTGCAGCCACATCAGAACACTGGTTTGTTTCAGCAGAAGACTTTACGGGGACATTTAACTGGAAAAACTCTACAACAACCTCAACACAGAGATGCCTTGAAATAAACCAGATTGTATTTTTGTGCCTGCCTCCACCTCCGCTGACCAGTTTAAAGCAGCTTTAATGTGCCGCTGCATTTTGAAGTTATGTGATTTACTCTTTCTTT